AAAAAAAATGGGTGGAAAAATACATTCAACTTATTTACTTCAAACTGAAGTTAGCAAAAACCCAGTCGCAAATCGCACGACCCCCAATCACCTTTCCCGACTTTGAAACACAGTCTAATCATTAAGACAGCAGCATTTGAATGACTCGATATCTAAGAGAAATGGAGCTAGTTACACACGCACAGAAACGGACAGTATTTCTACACATTCTGAAGGGGCCAAAAGGGTTCTTACACTGTATCACAGCAGAACGAAGTCAGGGGTCCAGGTGGCCCCGAAGAACATTCTGCACCGCCGTGTGTCTGCCTGCACTCACAGCTGTGTATCCAGGAGGAACAGTGACAGAGATATTCTCTCAGGGGCCCTGCAAGGTTTCCTACACGGCTCTGATTGAAAGGTTACACTTCCTTTGTGGGGAGCCTTAGATTTTAGATTTAAACATTTTGTGTTAATGCCAGATTAATTTTTAATCCGTCCGCAGGTTTTATTCCGGATGAAAGATGTGAAGCAATGATGAGGAAACACGGGGAAGCAGTAACCGAACAGAAGGCATGTAAATACTGCAGTTCTGGAAAAGGCAGACAGAGGATTTGAACATCAACGGCAAAGGTCTTATCTCAGTCTCAGAATTTGAGACTCCAAGCATGTTTCTAGAGACGCTCTGACAAAAGAATGCAGGTCACAAACCCATAAAAATAAGTTTCCAAGGACTGATTGAAAATAATATGAAAGATTAATAAATGCTGTTTGTCTGCATATTTATATTAACAAAAAATGACTGATCTGAATATTTTGTTAGTGTTATTAATAAACATGACTGAATATCCTATAATAAAATTTGTAATTCTTTTCATGCATTCTTTACAAATTCAGTTTTAATAATGAATAAATGTTATAATAATTTTTTTTCACATATTCTATAACAAATGCTACTTTATTATCTGTAATTTGTTGTTAGCTATAAATTCGTAAAATGTGGTTTTGTCATTGCATTCAATCTAGGGGTTAAGGTTATCTTTTCTTAAAACTTCGCACAACTACATCTTCACAGTAATTTTAGCTTCAGATGCTACAAGTTTAATTTAAAAATAGTTTGTGCTCATCAGGATCAAAAACAGATTGAAGGCGGTGTGTTTTTCACAAAGGAAAAGAGGCGAACACAGTCCCCAAGTGAACTGCTGTCCCGTCAAGCTGTTATGAATAAACAAAACAAACAGACACTCTGACTTGATGTTAGCACGCCCTTGTGTTGGAAAAACAAGAAAAAATTACTGTAAAATAAAATATGCCC